CAGCAAGGCAGCGCGTTGCGCAGCCGGGGGCCGCGCCGCCCCCGAGAGACGCGCAGCGTGCGGCGCTGGCAGGGTCCACCCCCGCTGAGCCCCTAGACGTGCTCGTCGTTGGCGGTGGCGCCACCGGATGCGGCGTCGCACTCGATGCCGCTACCCGCGGGCTCCGGGTAGGCCTCGTGGAGCGCGAGGACTTCTCTTCTGGAACCTCCTCCCGATCCACCAAACTCATCCATGGCGGTGCGTGGCCTTCTCCAAACCCTGGGACTTACGGAATCCCCTTTTTTGTGCTTTTCCCAAAATTTGGCTCCTACGAATCCTTTGTTAGAACACCACGGTCAGCAGTCTGACCAAGAGTGAAAGAACCATTCTGTAGCAGTTTGGTGAACTAATGTGGCCCTATTTGATGCTTGGTATGTTAGGGTTGGTAGTGCGATGCACTATCTTAATAGCATACATAATTATTTTCTGGCTACATTAGCAAGTGGATCTGTTGAATTTGTGTTGGAAATAGTTGTTCTACGATGGTACTGCACTTCTTTGTTAGTGGAAGTGTGGAACAATACTTGCTCTATCAAGCCTTGGCTTTGTTTTAGCAATGCAAATTTATTTCTAATATGTTTATGCCAGTCTAGGAACCTGTATTGTGATACTGACCGTTCCTGACTGATACTATTTGTCAACCTGTTGATAAAATATTTACTGTCCAATACACTATCCCTGCTACATTCAAAACATGAGGCATATCTTGCATCTAACATTCTCTAACTGTGTTTTATTTTACTTGTACATAAAGAGACATATGAGGTGAAAACATAAAAGATCCTCATAAAGATTCAGTAGGCAATCCTGGATATTGAATTATACTCGAAAATTTTAAGGATAATTTCAAAATGAGCTAGGAGAACAGAAAATGAACTTACCATTGCATTTTATAAGAATGTTTCCTAAGGTTCTTATTACTCAACTTTGTTGGGACTTTTTCATGTCGATTTGATGGTCAAACCAAAACCTTTTCCAAGGTTCCTAAAATTAGTTGGTTTTCACTTGATATACCATGCCAACTATGTCTAATTTGCTGTTAACTTTGACCCAACGAAAATATAAGGTTAATCTTCTCCCTGTTGCTGTGAAAATGTCTTGCTCTTGTGTTCCCTCTTACTGAATACTGATGCAATAAATTTATTCAGCTTTCTGCCATAGTAACATCATTTGCAGATAGATGGCTAGCTTGAAACAAATGCATGGATGAACATATTATTATAAAGATTGGGTAAAACTTTTGTAATTTTAAAAAAATACTTTGTGACACAGAAAAGGCTTAATTACGAACAAGAAATACCTGCTCCAGTTTTTTGTGCCTTTTTGGGATTGAAAACTTAATTTATCGTTGTCCCTTATTATATTGCATTCAATTTGTACAGGTGTGCGCTACTTGGAGAAGGCAGTGTTCAATCTTGATTACGGGCAGCTGAAACTTGTTTTTCATGCACTTAAGGAACGCAAGCAGGTTATTGAGAATGCTCCCCATTTGTGCCATGCTTTGCCATGCATGACTCCTTGCTTTAACTGGTTTGAGGTTGTATACTACTGGTTTGGTTTGAAGTTTTATGATCTTGTTGCTGGAAGAAGGCTACTACATTTGTCACGATATTATTCTGTAGATGAATCAGTTGAGCTTTTCCCAACCCTTGCAAAAAATGTCCATGATCGTAGCCTAAGAGGAACAGTTGTGTACTATGATGGTCAAATGAATGACTCTCGGCTGAATGTGGGGTTGGCATGCACTGCTGCAGTTGTTGGTGCAGCTGTTCTCAATTATGCTGAAGTGGTCTCCCTCATTAAGGACGGATCGGGAGGGAGAATCATTGGTGCACGCATTCGTGACACACTATCAGGTAGAATAAAGTATGTCCTATCTCTACCTGCTATATGAAATAACCATCTCAGAGAGTGGTTCAAGTTATCTGTTTTCTTTGATAGTTATGTGTATCTTTCCTCCATACTTAACTGATGAATACAAACAGTCTTTCTAGTTTCTAATGCCATTGTTTATATATTGGTATTTCTGAATGCTTCTGCAGTTTCTGTTCTTGTTCAGAATTTGATTTTGGTTGAGTATTTGTGCTATTCATTCTGAGTTATGGATGGAGGCATTTAATTTAAGAACAAACTTTAGAGCTGTGAAACTTCTGGCTTCTATGGTCACTTAATGTTTTTTACCATCATATAGCACTGTTGAGTTTTTATTCTTATAGAGTTTGACTTAGGGTTATTAAATGACCAGTTTAGTAGCTTTCTCCAACTGTTTTAGGAGGAGTTGGCTGACAAATCTGTTGTACATAATTTACGAAAACTTAAATTACATGTTGTGTTACTATTTTTTTTGAAAGTAAATGTTGGGTTACTATTTTAACAATACATAGTTCTGATCTCTGAAGAGATTCTTGCACCTTAAGATGTCTATATGAAGTTACTTTAATTATGATGTTTAAAAGTAATGCATTTTCTTTTGAGATGAGTTATTGCTTTAGTTAATTTCTTTCTTTGTTGATGTTAGCATTATTAATATTTAACAGAAATTTGAAACAAAGAATCACTTTGTGCTTTCTATTGTAAGGAATTTTTTTAGGTAAACAATTGAAACTGTGGATAATAATCCACCTCCCTCCGGGAATGGAAACTTCAGACGAAAACTCCGTTCGCCTATTGATCTTGCTCTTCTGCTTATCTTTGTTTTAAGCTTTTAGATTAGATGCTGGCTTTCCAAGATCCATTAGCCTAATTTACTATTCAGTTCATTGTTAGGTGCCTCAAATCATTAAACATAAACAGTCCTACATCCTTAATCTATTGCTAGTTGCTAACTCTAACAAGAATACAATATGTGCGAACGGGCCTCTAGCTGAGTTGGTTAGGTGGCTATAGTAGCTCCTTAGTTCCTGGGTTCGACTCCGAGCAAATTTCATGCTGCGGTTAAAAAAAATCCCCTGTCCCATGCCAAAGCACATGTCTAAGGCCCGCCCCTGGTCATGGTTGTTCTCACATGGGCTATGTTGCCACTGTGTATGGGTGGGGCGGAGGTCGGGGGCTTTCTCGACCTGCATGAGAAGGTCTTCTTCTTAATGCAATGCCCAGGGGCTGTCCTACCCCCCACAGGTCAATTTTTTTAAGAATACAATATGTTCTGAAAAATTAAGATGCTGATATTTTTTTCCCTAAAAAATATGTTGTTTTTATTAAACAAGTATGGATGTGTATTTCACACTTCTATATATTTTGCGCTTTTCATTTAGTTGGAAGATAATTCTGCAATATGCTAACATCTTGATGGTAATCATTTATATCTGCGGATGATGGCCGCTACATGGCAAAAGGAGTAAAGGACTGATGTGGCTGTCGTGTCACCCAAAACCACCCAAAAGGAGAAAAAAAATGTCTTGGATGTAATTTGAACTTGTTTTGAGAGTTGGATCTGGTTTTGGAGACGAAGAACCAAAACGAAACATTGAAACCAGGGGAAAAGTTGTGCTTGAAATAAACCTTCTCATTTTTTACTATAGCAACATGTCATTGCACATTCTGTGTGAAATTGTGGATTGCCAACTTGACGAGTATTTTAGCCATACTACATATTTTGGCATATGATTCTGTTTTGTTGGTTGCCACATGTTAAGCACATATGTGAAATTGATTGTGTCATCCACTTGGTGTTTTAATAATGCAGCACTGTCTAGAGTATTGCTGCTTATGTAACTGTAAAATAATCCTTGTGTGGTCACTTAATGCTTGCAAATGTGTCGTTTTTTTTCCATGATGGGAAACCTGAATTTCATTACCATAAGCAACGAAATTCCAGCAAAGATTACCCGAATTTTCACCTAATGCTTGCAAATATGTGTCAGGTAAGGAGTTTGAAACCTTTGCAAAGGTGATTGTTAATGCAGCTGGACCATTCTGTGACTCTGTGAGGAAGATGGCTAACAGTAACGTAGCACCTATGATCTGTCCTAGTAGTGGAGTGCACATTGTACTTCCTGATTACTACTCCCCCTGAAGGGATGGGGCTAATTGTCCCTAAAACCAAGGATGGCAGAGTTGTATTTATGTTACCATGGTTAGGAAGGACCGTTGCGGGAACAACTGATTCTAGCACAGCAATAACAATGCTTCCTGAACCACATGAGGATGAAATACAGTTCATATTGGATGCAATCTCTGACTATCTTAATGTTCAGGTGTGTTTGCATATATGCTATCCTTTTCTTTACATGCTAAAGTAATGTTGTAAAGTTCTTTTGTTATTGTAGTGTTGTTTCACATATTTTCATCTTGTATTTGTTTGCAAAACTGGAGATGGAGGAACATTTTAGTTGCTAGTTTAAACTCGTTTCAGTTTTGTGCTTTATGAAGCCAAAACACATCTTAGTTTGTTGAGTTTACTGCACGAATGTGGGTGGCAGTCCACTTTAAGTATTATGAGGATGCTGCATCACTATGCTAGTATGTTCTACCTTGCTCTGTCTCCACATGTTAGATTACTAAAGAGCTCTTCTATCGGATGCTTCTAGAAGGGAAGTTAATTTGGCAATCTACATGTTATGAAATCCTACATTCTATATCAACCTCCACAGCTACTTAGTATTCTGTTTAATGAACCATTTTTTAGAGGAAGAAAAAGCATTTAATGATCCCTTTGTTGCTGTACTGTTTGAGAAAAAAGGCTGTTGCTAATTACTAACCATGTATGTCAACATGCTGTATAAGTACTGGTTAGCCTCTTTGGAATCCAATGGGATCAAATGGTTACATAGTTTAAATCTTCTTTTATAGTGATGATCTACTTTTAACCTCCATTTGAAGTGCGTCCATAATCTACTGTATATTCTTTTTAGTTTCATACTAAAAAGTATTTTGTGAGACTGTAATTAGAATCATATTTTCCAACACAAATGGAGAAATATTGACTGTACAAATATAACTTTAATGTCTTCATTCATCAGGTAAGGCGTTCAGATGTTCTTTCTGCCTGGAGTGGTATACGTCCTTTGGCTACGGATCCATCAGCAAAGAATACTGAGAGTATTTCTCGAGATCATGTTGTATTTGAAGACTACCCCGGGCTAATAACAATTACTGGTGGAAAATGGACAACCTATAGGAGGTAAGGCCTACATAATTGCTACTATAATTTATATTTATTGGTAGAATTGATAGGATGAAACTGGCTTGACTTGGTCAAGCATTCAGCATTGCCAATTTACTTATTGGGCCTATCTATTTTTTTTTAAACGAAAAGTGTTGTGGACACATTTGTAGGCGAGAAACGTATGTGTGCCACTAGAAGTATTAAGTTGCATGCACCGACCAGTTCAACCCAAAAGCTTAAGCTGATGGGGAGAGGTGGGCAATTCACTTATATTCCAACACTTCCCCTCACGTGGAGGCTCCCTCAGGCCTCAGACGTGGAATAGGAGCAAGCAACAATTATTTTAATTAATTGCGCTAACCAGGATTCAAACTCGAGACCTCTAGCTTTGATACCATATTAAGCTGCATGCACCGACCAGTTCAACCCAAAAGCTTAAGCTGATGGGTATATTCCAACAAGAAGGAACTGGCATTCACAAGTGGCTAGTTAAGTTGTTAGAGTTTGTTTCAGATTAGTTGTGAGAGGATAAGTAGCAAGTTTGTTAGCACCATCTCTACTTATAGAGTTTGACAAATTGATTGTAATCAAGCAAAAATAATGAACGTAAGAACTCAGAACCTCTTCTTGAGGGCAAGTGCAGCATATCTCTGCCTCTATCACTCCCTAGCCCAGCCAACTACCAATCTAGACATGTCAAAAAGTTAAGATATGTCTACAGCTACAATTATGATGACTGCATTGTCATATACAGATGGAAATTATGATTTATGAAAATGAGTAGAGCCTGACTATCTAGCAGAAACAAGGCTGCTTCATGTTTTTTTGTAAGAAAATATTTTTTTTTTCTCTCGAACAACGCTGGAGAGCTGCGTGTCATTTCATTAAGGTAGAAAAAAACACAAGTACAAAGAGTTAGGCAAAAAGCTGAACCCGAACACGAACGCACATCCACAACCAAACAACCCCCCAGAGGAAAAGACTCTACAAAAAAATAGAAAAGCCCTGACCAAGGACCACCCGGAAAACTAAGAACTATGAAGCTGGTGACCCAGCGAGGAGGGCCTGGAGCTTGGAAGCACCAGCCCAGCACCATATGGTGCTCTCAACAACCACTGTTTGCAGGAGAGCCTGAAGGTTTGACTGCAATCCTTCAAGCACACATGAGTTTTGATGCTTCCAAATCTCCCAAGCCACAAGAATGATAAGGGAGTTTAGCCCTTTCCGTGTCTCCTTTGGCACCCCTCTGATCACACTCCACCAGCTAGAGAAACTTGTCCTTAACACAGGTGCTACAACAGCCAGATTTAGTCATTGTAAACAGAAAAACCAAACCTGCCGAGAGAAAACACATGGGTCTAGCAAATGCTGGATTGTTTCCTCAGCTTGGTCACAGAACGGGCAGGCAGTTGGATGAGGCAATCCCCGCTTGGCTAGCTGGTCTGCAGTCCAACATCTGTTGTTGAAAGCCAACCACAAGAAGTATTTGCAGTGCAAAGGGGCCCAACTCTTCCAGATTCTCCTCCAAGGGGTGAACTTGATGGTTCCAACAAAGAATGCGGCGTAAGCTGACTTGCTGCTGTAGACCCTGGATTGGGTTAGCTTCCAACGATGCTGATCAGGGACACCTGAGTGTAGAATTAGGCTATCCACCAAGTCCCATACCAGCAGGTACTCCACCACTACCTGAACTGTTAGGGCCCCTTTGATATCACACACCCAATTCCTACTTTGGAGTGCCTGAACAACAGTCTGAGCTTTGACTGCCCTTCTTGGGATTGCCTGAATAAGAAAATAAATTACCATCTAGCTATCATATGCTCGCGGGCAGTGCCTATATTAGTCTCTGCCATTTCCATGGTGCCTAGCCAAACTCTGCCCTGCTTGTATTGCACCTCCACTGTTTTGTTCATCTGCATTGTGCCTAGCATAAATTGCACCTTATTTAACTCATGATCTGGGTGCCTTGGGAGGGGTTTGCTGGTGTGGAACAGTCCCATCCGCTCATGGCTGCAGGAAATCGTGAGAAAATGAAGGGAGGATGATGATGAGTCAATGAGAAAGATTTGGCAAGCGGGGATTAGCTGATACAATATTAGAATTTTGCTAAGAATTACTTGTTTCCCTCCATTTTTTTGGGTTACTTTAGAGTGGTGATTGTTGAAAGACAATGGGGAAACACGAGTGAACTATGCAGACACTGCCACCAAATCTAACTTTGAAGTAGCATAGCATATATAATATATATTACTATCAGAGTGTCATGTAATTTACTGGCAGTACTTCATTTTAGTTTGACTGTCAGCGCTGCTTAAGGCAAAACCACATGGGTTGTCTTTTGCTATTAGGATATATTTTCCCTTAGCCCCTTACACAAAAGATCCTCTGTGGTGCACTACAAGTTATTCCATTGTTGAATTCTAATGAGCTTGTTTGTTCAGTATGGCTGAAGATGCTGTAAATGCAGCAGTCAGGTCTGGGAATTTGAAACCAGCTAATGGTTGTGTGACCGATAATTTGCATATTGTTGGTGGATATGGATGGGATCCTGCTTCTTTTACAGTTCTTGCTCAGAATTATAAGCGAATGAAAAAGACATATGGTGGCAAGGTTATTCCAGGTGCAATGGACAGTGCTGTATCGAAACATTTGTCACATGCATATGGAACTTTGGCTGAACAAGTGGCTACTATTGCCCAGGTGTGTTCTCCTTTGACTCCGGTAGCGCTATTTATGTGAACTCTGTTCTAGTAGGATGGAAAAGAAAAATAAAGATCTTGCTTCAATTTGTCTTTGCATTTGTTGGGGGAGTAAAATGTTATATGCATGGTTTTCAAGGCGCCACCTAGGCAATGAGGTGTGCTGGGACTCTGGGCATCCCAGTTACGGTGACAAAAAGTTCAGCAAAAGAGAGTTAGGGAGAGAGAAGAGATGAACAGGAGAGGAGCTGGTCAGCAGGCCAACAACCTGCAGCCGCTGCCATACTCGCTGGCTCTGAGCCACAGAACTTGCTTTGGTCAGCTGTGGCAGTCAATCTGGAAAGGGGTGTCAGCAGCGGTCTGTTTGAGGGAACAGAGCAGTCAGGTAAGGGAAGGAACAGGGAGAAGTTGCGGGCGGTAGTAGCACATCTGGTGAATGAGCAGGAAGCAAGAGGCACCAAGATGGGGAGGGGAGAGGGAGGGGAAGGTTGCAGGCGGGAGCACTGATCTGGCAAACGAGTGGCAAGCGAGAGGCAATGAGAGAAATAGAGGGAGGGGAGGGAGGGAGAAAGGGAGTGGTAGATTATGCTAGGGGACGGGGTATAGGGGCTGCACCAGCCCCCTTCTTACTCCTTTTTTATGTTCCCTGTTCCTCCTCCATGCTGCTTTTTTGCAGTTTCTTATATTGGTATGGCGTCGTCTTGCCTCGTCTTATAAGTGCCTTGGTATCGACTAGGTGATTGAAAGAGGCTGGCTTGCCACGCCTCGTGTTACCACCTTAAGAACCAGTGGTCTGCGTAAGCTTATTAAGTATGACTGATTGGAATAATGATGCACTGCAGTTTATTTGTAGTTTCTTTTGAAACCAAAAACTTATTTTCTTCCCTGAGTTAATGGATTATTTATAATTGAATATATAATTAGCAAACCATGAATTTTGTAACATCTTGAGGATGGAATAACATGTCAAATTTGAATCAGTTTTGGCCTTTGGAAGAAAAGTTGTTCACCAAAGCGAACAATAATGTTTGTAAATATAGTTTATAGGATAAGAACCCATCATGTTGTACCATTTCAAAATCAATTGCCAGATTTTTGGATCAAGATATATGTGTTCAGTGGTGGGATCGCATAGTTGCTCTGTTTCTTTTTTGCATAGATATGCATAAATGTTTGTGTGAAAAGGTCACAGGTGACAAGGTAACCTTCAGATCCCCAGCAGTGGGGTGTTTTCTAGTTTATTTGTTGTCGCCTTTCTGTTATCATTTCTGTATTTTTGAAAACCTTGCAAGATTCCTATTGTATGCATTCTGATGTCTTGAAAAATTTCCACTAAAATGGAGTCAAGCAATGTGATTTGCATCCTGAATTCCTGACAGCCAGCTTTCTTTGTTTAGAAGTTGGGTCATCAACCTAAGTGCTGTGTCACCTGTGTGTGCATGTGCCAAAACTTATAAATCTAATTCCATGTTTCAATAGAACTGTATCAGTGATGTACACATTAATAGTGTTAGGTTCTTTTTGACATGAGTGTCTACATGATTCCCTTGTATTATTTCTCTAGTACTATTGAAGATTGCTTAGGCCCTGGCTATCGCAAACTAGTCAGCATTAATACTTTTATTTAAGGTATTTATGTAAACTTTTGAAAGAAAGGTATTTATGTAAATTATCTATATGGATTAAAACTACACATTCATGGCATGTTTTCATGTTGTGTGACAACTCAGATTATTGCATTCATGAATCTCCCCATTTTTTCCGTTCAATGGATGATCAATATGGAACTGAAACCCATGGCTAATTTGTTTGTCCGAAAAATGTGGTACCTATTTTTTGGCCATTCATAATATTTGTACTTAAATATTTTTAGAACGAAGGCTTGGGAAAGGGCCTTGCTCATGGATACCCATTTTTGGAAGCTGAAGTAGCATACTGTGCTCGTTATGAATACTGTGAATCTGCTGTGGACTTTGTTGCAAGGAGATGCCGGCTTGCTTTCCTTGACACAGATGCTGCTGGTAGAGCATTGCCCCGAACCATTGAAATTTTAGCTTCAGAGCACAAGTGGGACAAGGCAAGGAAGAAGGTGGAGCTGCAGAAGGGTAGAGAGTTCTTGGAAACATTCAAGTCATCTAAGAACGCCCAATTCCGTGATGGGAAACATAATGGTAAGAAGAGGTTCATTAATGTGCTCCTCTTCTCTGCATTCAATTTATGTTTTAATTTTATCGCATCATGTGCAGGACCATGACCAAATACGCAGTTTTGTGAATAAGCGTGGCTCTTATACACAAGTTCTCTTGAACAAGCAGGCTCCGATACAAGAGTGAGCCCGTGAATGTTGAAAGGTTCGGTTTCCACATTTCCACGCATGGCTGTGAAATCGATGTGCTGATTTCCAGCAGAATAAGATGTACATGTAAATACCCCAGCGTATTAGTCGATTTAAAAATAAACTGGAATCAAGACCAAAGATTTCTTGCTCCTCAACCTTGAATTTACACCTTTTTCCTCCTGCGAGACTATTTCTCCTCCCCTGTTGATGCATCGGATACAACCACTGTCGCTAACTCGCTATTGTCATTAAGACTCGCAGGTATTAAGCCTTTTTGGCCATTGTCTTCGCTAGATATTTTGTTTTTGTTGCCTGCCTGGCCGACGACCATGGCCTTGCCCTAGCTGGCGCTGCTTGCGCTTGGCCACCGATGACAAGCTCTGGCCACCTATGGCGACTGGCCGTCCATAGGTGGTTGTCCAGGAGGTGCATACTTTTATCTTCGCCATAGGTGGTTGTCCAGGAGGTGCATACTTATATCTTGTATATATGTTATTTCGCGTTGGTGAGTAGAACACTCATGAAGATCAATTTGTATTGCATGTTGCGTTTCATAATTTGCACTCCCTCTAGGTCCTAAAAACATGCCGTTTTAGACATCATCTCACGTATCAAGGAGTGTTTAATTAGGATGTCTATTCTCTGTTTTACCCATATTAAATAGGATCTGGTTACAATTTGAATCAAAGCTTCCTCTCCTCCTTAGTGGCAAAGGGCATCACTTTTGAAGCATTTGAGCTGAGTTTGACTTCTGGCAATTACCCTTTTGTAGTGTAAATTTGTCAACTTTTTTTTTTATTTTTATAAAACGTGCAGCATGGCCAGCATTCTTTTTTTTCCCTTTTTTTTTGGGTAAAACGTGCTGCTATTTTTTTTGGAGCATGCTAACTAGCCGGGCTGTTAAATTTCCTTCCATCGTGCTATGCCTTTTCCATTTGCGAGCGGTACGGTAGCAAATTAAGGAACAAGCAAGCTAGCCGCGCCTGTTGCTGCATGCGAGTAGTTTAGTGTCTGGGCGGCTCCTGCTTCTTGGAATTGCATGCGCACATGAGACGGAGAGAGCCTTTGCATGTCGTTAATGTTGTCCACGCGGATGTTGGGCAGCAGGGTCAATTTCATCCAAATTAAGCCCGTTTGCTCATAGAAAATATCTTGGATCTAGATTCTAGAATCGTTTCGGGTGGTGAATTAGAATTACTTTATAAGACCGTTTGGCTAGAAGACCAAATTCTCATCAACAAGAATATATATATATATATATTAAAGATTATTTAAATAAAAATATATTTCAAAAAGATTCTGAACTTTTTGTAGACAAAAAAACAACATAAATACAACCCATTTTTACTTGATGCACTAAAAAAGGATTGTAACTGAAAATGATATAATTGCTAGTACAGAAGGAGGCAAATAAATGGAAGTGATTCACATGCGAAACCAGCCTTTGTCGATTCTATCAAGTAGTGCAAAAATGAAAAACGTTTATGACCGATTCTGATTGAAGCATTTGTGGTCTTCGACTGTTTGACAGCGATTCTATGGTTTCACTAGAGAATCGAAACCGTTTCTTACTTCCAAACATCCCCTAACCCTGTGACTTAAAAACTGGATCTGCAAGGTATGACTATCCCTAGACATTGCATTAAAAAGAAATTCCTGAACCCCTACTCAACCCTTACACAGCGGCACCGTCGCCCTGTGAGAACGGATCGGTCCTTAGACCTGTGCTTTGGTGTGCGACAGACGAGGAGGATTTTTTTAACCCCAGCCTGAACGCTCTAACCCGTTGGACTAGAGGCCCTTTGGCACCCTGTGACTACAAAACAACTTGTTTTAGGATCCTCATGCTCTTACCCTCCAACGACATGCTTTTAGGACCTAGAGGAAGTATACTTGTCACCATAGTTATTAAGTCATCATCAAGTTGTCAAGGTGAGGGAAAAGTTTGGGTGTCAGGGTCACCCAGCCATGTGCGCTACGCGTATATGGCGTCCACCTTGCTTGTTTAGGTGCCAAGGTGGCTACGGCGGTGGCTGGCGTCCACCTTGCTTGTTTAGGTGCCAAGGTGGCTACGGCGGTGGCTGGTGCCTTATTCATGGGAAGAAATCTCTTCCGCGTGATACTTCCTACCATTTGCCATTTGCGCGGCAGGTGAGGAGAGGAGAGGAATAGAAGGACAGGAGGTAGAAAAGCGAGAGGGATGTTTGAGACATGGATACACCTACTGCACTGGGGTTGAAAATGAATAGATAATTCTCCGACCCGAATCTGAATCCATAGTACGCACGCACACCAAAGAAAAAGCAAATATCCTTTCACTCATAGGGATTATTTTTGAGGTTTTTACCTGTGTGCCATTATAAAAGATGATTCAAGCCTATATATCATTAAAAAGTTCGAACACACCCTGATGTTATGACGCTAAACTCTTTTGCCCCATACACCATTCCGTCCACCTTTCGTCTGGTTTCCACCATTTGGCAGCCCTGATATGCGAGCCTAGCTGGTCACAATGTCTAAAATACCCTTCTCTCACAACCTTATCCTCTCACTTCTTTCTCTATGTCCGGTGGGGCTAAACTGTAAGTGACCCGGGCACCTTCTTCCTCAAGAACACGGCCGGGAGAGCTCAAATGCATGCACTATCGCAGATTCTTTGGGGTGGGCTCGCCGCCATGCCGTTGCTGGTGGTGGTGGGCGGAGCTTCGCCAGCGGGTGGTGCGGGCTGGCGTGGCGGGCGCGCCACGTCTTGGTGTTGAGGATTTGCGACGCGCGCGCGCGGGCGTGGGGGGGCGCACGCAATGGGCGGTCGCGATGCTAGCATCGGGGATGGCCCGTGCGGCCATGGGGCAGGGCGGGGCGCTCGTGGCGTTGCCCGTGCGGCCATGGGGCAGGGCGAGGCGCTCGTGGCGTCCCGTTGTTCATGGCGTGCGGGAGGCCTACACGGGCGGCGCGCGACGACGCGGCGGCTGGAACGGCCAGCCGCGACGACCGGGGGCGGGCGGGCGCTTCGCGTCCATGGAGGAACATGAAAGGAGCAACAAGGTAGCGGAAGTTGAGAGCCGGGCCGCCGCCGCGCCGCGCGAGCTCCTCCCGCCGACCAGCCGTTCCAAGCTCCTGCATGCCTACTCCCACCTCGACCTGCTGCCCGTTCGGTCGTCCCGCGCGCGTGGTCGTCGATCGGCACCACCACTCTGAGGATGGAGGGCGCGCGTCTAGAGGACGCCGGCGGAGGGGGCGTCGCACGACATCTGGGGTGGAGCCCGCGCCCGCGCCCTCGTTGACCGGGGAGCTATACACCGCCTTCGTCGGATCCTTTGCTGGCGATGACCACTGTCGGTGTTTTGAGTCACCACCAACAAGTAAATTTCTAATATTGCGCGTCTGGCTCGGATGGTGTGCTTAGAGGACACGAGGTTTATACTGGTTCGGGCAGAATGTCCCTACGTACAGTTCGTCGCTGCTGCACGTGTTACTAACAACGAAAATTTGTAGTAGGGGTTACAAACATACGAGAGAGGGGCAGGTCCCAAGTCTCTTGTGGAAAGAGTGAACGGGTGCCGAGAGCTCGGTTGCCGCTCAGCCATGTGCTTGTGTTGTGTTCTAGTCGGTTTGAGGTTCGATGGGTTGATGATGATTCGATCGGGTCTGGCCTAGATCGATCCGATGCCTATCCTAGGGCGTCCTAGTTTCCCTTTTATAGACCAAGGGAAAGCATGGATTACAACAGAGGAAAAGAGAAGAAACGATGAAAGGTCCTAATGGCTAGAGGGGGAGGGGGTGAATAGCCTAATAAAATTTCTACAACAACACTTAACAAAAGGGTTAGACAATTATGAGGCAAACCAAGTGTTGCGCTAGCCTACTTAAAATGCAAGCCGCCTACCGCAATTCTAGTTTCGATAGTATCTAATCACACAATAGCTATAACACTACCCTATGTTAGTGTGCTCTCAAAAGGCTAACTAAAGAGCCACACCAACCAAGCAAGCAAGCTCTCACAACTAATTACACTAAAGAGCTTGACAACTATTTTGCGGTAATGTAAAGAGAGTGATCAAGAAAGTTTTACCGCTGTGTAGATGAAGGAACCAATCAATCACAAGGATGAATAACAATGAAGACCAATCACCTCGGAATCAATGATGAACACAATGATTTTTTACCGAGGTTCACTTGCTTGTCGGCAAGCTAGTCCTCGTTGTGGCGATTCACTCACTTGGAGGTTCACGCGCTAATTGGATTCACACGCCAAACCCTCAATAGGGTGCCGCACAACCAACACAAGATGAGGATCACACAAGCCACAAGCAATCCACTAGAGTACCTTTTGGCTCTCCGCCGGGGAAAGGTCAAGAACCCCTCACAATCACCACGATCGGAGCCGGAGACAATCATCACCCTCTGCTCGACGATCCTCGCTGCTCCAAGCCGTCTAGGTGGCGGCAACCACCAAGAGTAACAAGCGAAATCCGCAGCGAAACATGAACACCAAGTGCCTCTAGATGCAATCACTCAAGCAATGCACTTGGATCACTCCCAATCTCACTATGATGATGAATCAATGATGGAGATGAGTGGGAGGGCTTTAGCTAAGCTCACAAGGTTGCTATGTCAATGAAAATGGCCAAGAGAGTGAGCTTGACCCGGCCATGGGGCTTAAATAGAAGCCCCCACGAAATAGAGCCGTTATACCCCTTCACTGGGTTCTGATCGGGCTGACCGGACGCTCCGGTCCTACTGACCAGATGCTGGTCCTCAGCATCCGGTCGCCTGATGGCGGCCACGTGTCACCTGCATTCAACTGTGAACGTTTGAACGGTTGAAATGTTGACCGGACGCTTCGACACTGTTGACCGGACGCTGGACCCTCAGTGTCCGGTCATTTCCAGTAAGGGTCCAAATCCTATTTTTGC